CCTTCTAAAAGCTGCACTTTTAGGCCTGTTTGTAATTTATTACATCTTCATTTTAAAACTCACACAGGTTCCTGCTTTACCAAAATGGTATAATGATCTATTTGTCACCAAAATTGTCTACACAAGGAAGACAAATTCAAAATCTGGGAATTGCCAAATCTCTTTAAGACCCAACACCTGTTCTAACTCTCGCCTCACCAACTCACTAGAGGCCGCAAGTTATAAGAGGTCAACCAAGGTTGACACTGGGGCTAGTCAGAGGACTGTCCACACCGTGAACACAAATTAAACAGTAACAACAACCAACTTGGGGATAGAGTAACTGCTGATTAACAGGAAGTGCCAAAGTTAAAGTCAATGATAAACGACTCCACATTTCATGCCTGCTTTTGTTCTAATGCCTACTTCTTAAAAAAAAAAAAAAAAAAAAAGGCATTTAGATGCCCATATAGATAGATCTCCATCACATAAAATTACTTTTTAACTTTTCATGTATAAAAAATTCAGGCGTGGTGGTGGTGGTGGTGGTGGTGGTGGTGGTGGTGGTGGTGGTGGTGCACGCCTTTAATCCTAGCACTCAGGAGGCAGAGGCAGGTGGATCTCTGTAGCCTGGTTGGTCTACAGAGCGAGTTCCAGGATAGGCTCCAAAGCTACACAGAGAAACCTTGTCTCAAAAAAAAAAATTCAGGTTTTGAATTTTTGAATAAAGCTAGGGTCTTTATGTAACCCTAGCTGTCCTTGACCTCACAGAGACTCACCTGTCTTTGCCTCCCAATTACTGGGATTAAAGGTGTGAAACACAACACATGGACACATGGCCAAAAAAAGGGGAGGGAGGGGAAAAAAGCAATTCTGAAAATACAAAGTCTTTTGAAAAGCAAGATGATAACATACAGTGCTGTCCTTCCTGGATTACAAGAACAATTTAATAACTAATTCCTAAGCCCTATGTCCACCACACTTCTCTTTTCACTAATTCCTCCACAGATACACAGTGCCTGGCACAAAGAAAGAGGGGCACAAATACCAAAGGTTTTAAACTTGGTACAGAAAATGTCTGAAGCCCTAGAGCGGTCCTCAGCCTTGCTGTAAATCTGCTCAGGCTGTCAATTCCATCAGGCTTTCTGCTTTGGAGGGACACTTCTACCACACCTTTATTTAAAAAGGCATATCCTGTTTTGTTACTGAGATCCTTCTGGAAAAGACAATCTCTGAAAACTCATAGCATTCTTAAATTTCCAAACATTACAGCAATATAAATAAGGGTGAGCCAAGTCCCATTATGATCAGATTCGGTTTTCTGGTTTAATTTTCTGAACATTTCTTGAATCTAAGTGTACGGGGGTTTTTTTCCCCCTTGAAAACACACTTGGTCTTGTCAGCAGCTCACAAGGCCTCCCCTGCCCCCACCTCTTTTGTATGTAAACACACTCTTGTCACAGACTCCCATCAGCTGTTTGGTAGCTCCACCCCTCCTCCTTTTCCGGGTAGTAACAGAGCAGCCAATGAGCTGCAAGGAGCTGTGCCTGCGGCCTTTTGCCTGCATACGCTTTTCCAAAACAAGCAGCTCTAGCATTCAGCAGGGGCACTGGTTCACAGATAAAAGGCTCACCAGGGCTGTGCACCAGGGCGAGACAGTCACCCCACCAACAAGGAAACGCATGTAACCTGAGCTGTTTGTTCCCCCACCAGGGAGAACTTCAACCAGTATTCCTTTAGGGCAAATCACGCTTAAGGTCACTAGAGTCCCAGGTCTCAGACAATCTAAATAATCAGTGGTTGCCGGTGGAAACCTCAAAGGTTAGTGATCCTGTGCTGCTCTCGGGCTGGCAATCCACCTGACTCGGGCAAGCAAATGGCTGCACTAACCAAGACCATTCCACCAGACCTAGGCTAAGGACAAGTGTTTTGATTCCACAGCGCCCAAAAGTCATGTAAATCAGTTTCTCGGCTCCTGTGGAGGTTTGCACAACCCTCAAGATGAGGCTCAGAAGAGAAACAATGAATGAGTCAGAGTTTCAGAGCATAATCGCCCAGCAGATTAAGTGCATTGGTGCAAAACACTCACTCCCTGCATAACTTGGGAGTCAGCTACCCTACCAACCGGTCACAAAAGAAATATCAGACTCTGGAGAGACTGTCTAGCAAGGTGGTGGAAAGCAGTGACCAATTAGTCACACATCCCCTTCCCTCCCTACCCCCACACCGCTACTTTCCTACTATATAGGTTCCCTGCCAGGCTGTAAATCCTTGTGGTATAATTACGCCCAGAGACAGCCAAAACCGGGCTGAAACAGGAGACGTCCATGAAACCAGCTATCAGCCTCCACACCAAAGAACTCATCCAGACAAGGAACAAGAAGAGCCCTGCATTCCTTCAGACCTTTTTCTACTTCCTTACCACCATCTTTCATTTTTCACCCTCGTCACTGACACACAATTGTACTCATCTTAGCAGAAGGCTGGGAAAGGAGCTCTTAAAATTTTTCACTAAGGATACCTTACCCAAAACTGTAAACTCCCCTTGGGCCTACTGATGTGAATTCAACTGAGACAGGAGGCCATAAAACCCTTCACAATACACACCAACACACAAAAGGAAACCCGAAATGTTTAACTTCCAAACTACATTAAACCAGAAAATAAACTCGAAACAGAGATATCCTCTAGCTTTCAATTCAAAACTGGTATCGTCTTATTGAGAAAGCTACAATTTTAAAGAGCCCTGCTTTCTTTTGTCAGCAAAGGGAAGGTGGAGAAAGAACAGAAGCCAATGCATCTTCGCCTTTCTTCATCTTCTACTAAAAATAAGCTATGAAATAAGCCACTTAGGGAGAGGGAAAAGAGACACCCTGCTGTTCTTTGTCTGTTTCCCTCTCCCTCACCACCCCCCCAGCCCCGCCACCCCCCCACACCCGGACTCCTAAATGCGGTAATCATTGTAGATGCCACAACTACTCCATGAACAAAAGGCACTGTATAGAAAAGGCATCAGGTCAAGTTAGGCCTCGATCTTCATCCTTAATCTTTTAGAAATCTGTATATGAACGGAATTTGAGGAACTGACATCGATCAAAAACAGCTGGAATCCCCCCATCCCAATTATACATTAGAGTGAAATTCACATTAGGTGTGACAGTAACTCTCAATTCAAGACAAAAATAACTCCTAAGTCTACCACCATGTCATTTCCTAGTTTCTAAATAAAAATAACGCCCCAAACTGCTTTGTGTAAAATACACACACAGCCATAGTTACAAGTTTTCCTGCGGTCTTCTGAAAAGCCAACATTCCTGTTATCATTCACATATTTAAAAAGCAATCACAGCCACAAGCAGCTCATAGTTGATTTTACTTGTGCCTAGGTGTGTATCTGGCATATTACCCTTTATTAATGGCTGCTCTCTGATCCCTCCTACTACCCTTTCCCCAAACCCTAAACTTCCGAGTTTACCCACTATTCTTAATTTCTAGCCAGATCTCCCCTGGGCAAGAAGAAAAACACGTTCTTATCCTGAAAAGATGGATTGGACAAAAAAAAAAAAAAAAAAAAAAAAAAAAGATTTAAAAAAAAAAAAACAAAAACCTCTTGCCTAGGCAACTTCCCCTCCCATCCCCCAAACTGAAATCCTATGCAAAAACTACTTTTTTAAAAACTTCAGCAAATTCCATAACTGAGTTTTTGACAACCACCACTGATTGCTAGAAAAGGCAAAACAATGAAAAACAGCAACAAATAAAAGAATTCACCTGAAGAATCTAGCCAAACAACTTGAGTTATATAAACAAAATCCTGCAACAGGGGGAAACGGTGGGGGATGGGGGCGAGGCAGAAAGAGAAACAGGAGACAGGACTTTTTTAACAGCCTTTCACCTTCCCCCAAGGGATTAGCTATTTAGAACAGTAGGCTCTCAGCCCCCCCTCCACCACCACCCATTAGCCCTCAAAAAATAAAAAAAACATTTTTTAAATACTCGATTTGTCTCAGGAACCTTCGCGAATTTCTCTAGCTGGTCATGAAATAATCAGTCTGGATTCCAACCAAAACCACTGCCTGGAAGACTTATCAGTCACAGCTCTCCCACTGCAACCTCGGGTGTACATAAAGTTGGGGGGAGGGGGCAGAAAATAAAAGATGTCACTTGGCCCAGATCAGGGCAAGCAGTCCCCAAGAACCGTACTCTCACAGAGGGAGTCTTGCTCAAGTGGCTAGTACAGGGGCTATTTTGTTCAGGAGCTCCCCTTTCTGTCCTTCCTCCCAGCTGTCAGATCCACAATATGGAGGGTGGCCTGCCTGCTAAGAGGGCCTGGGGGTCCTCACTGCACGCACTATGAGTGGGATAGGCTTTGTCAGTAGAAAGAAAAACAGGAACGTTCTCCAGACCAGAAGGCTTAACAGGAGTGTCTGATTTAAAACACACGGAGCTCTTTATTCCAAGAGGGGCCCGGAGCAGACTACTCTCTTCCTAATATAGAAAGGAATTAGGGATAAAGAAGGTCGATTGAGTTACCCCGGTTTAAGCAGCACTGTGAGTGGAAGGAACCCGGACACCTTTAAAAAAAAAAAAAAAAGAAAGAAAGAAAGAAGAAGAAAGGCTTCCCTCTCAGGAAATTTCTATCTTGAGTCCATAAATCCAAAGCTAGCAAACAGGAAGCAAAGACCCTGAAGATGAGCTCCCGGTGACGAAGGAGGCGGCTAGTTATGCCCCCCCCCCCCACCCCAAAGAAAGGCCGTCTCAGGAATCCAAACGTCGTGGAGGAAAAGTCACGGGCTCCGGGGGGGTGCAGGGAGAGCGAGGAGCAACGCACATCTCGGGGGGCTGCAGATAAAGGGGCACTGAAAAAGCCCTCGGCTCCCGGAGGTGCTAAGGGGCCGCCGTAGGCACCGGGGGAGGGAGGGAGGGGAGGCGCGGCCAGTGGCCTGGAGTGCCCCGAAGCCCTCGCCTGGGCACCCCCACCCGCCCCACACGCAGTCCGAATTCCCCTCCATGAAGGATACAGCTTGACGACGTCCGTGTCCATCCGCCTCTTGCCGGGACTGGGGGATGACATGGTGTCGCCGCCGCCGCCGCTGCCTCCCCGTCGCCTGCGCCGCCGCCGCCGCCTCTCTCCCCTCCTCGGCCCGTCTGTCACGGGCCCCGGGCCCAGCTCGCAGGGCCCCGCGGCCGCGCCGGCTCCTCGGCCGAGGTGGCAACACCCGCGCGGTCCCGTGGGGTCCGCTCAGCCGCCGCCGCCGCCCCCCGCACGGGGGGACACCGGGCACTGCCCCGCCGAGTGGGGGCGGGGACCGAGGCGCCCGCTCGGGCTGCCCTCCGGCTGAGGCTCCGCCGCGGCCCGGGCAGGCGCTGCTCCGCGCCGTGCGCCGCTCCCCCCCGCCTGCGCTCGCTCGCTCGTTCGCCTGCCCGCCCGCTCACGCTCTCGCCAGCTCCCAGCTGCTTCCTCCACAAGCCGACGACTCCAGCTCGGTCGGCCTCTCTCTACCCTAGCCTCGCTCTAGGCGCCGTGATGTCACCTCTGTGACGTCATCGGCGGGGAGGGGCGCCGGTGGGAGGGGCGGGGCGTCGTCGCGGTGTAGGCTTGGCCGGGGAGTTCTGGGAGATGTAGTTCCTCTTTCTCCTGCCCGCCTGCATCCCTCTGCCCCCCTCCCCCAACCTCCCTACACACTTCATTGCTCAACTGCCAGTGCCGTCGTTACCATCAGCATAAACGATGGTAGTAAATAATGGCAGTATGATTACATTCATGTGCTTTATGAACCACCCTCTCACGACAGTGTTACAAAGGGCTGTTTGGATATGGAGGAGGCCAAAGTGGCAATTACTCAGACTGGCGTCCAAATCTGGAAATACCCACACCAGCATGTTCTCTGCACTCTGCTCCCTCTTCAGATGGAAAGAATTTGTTTGCAGGGATTGTAGACTACAGCAAGGCTTCCTCAGGGTTTGCAAACCAGGGGTCATTAATCCTCCACACAAGGCCAATAATTCCAGGAGTGCAGGAGAAGCAGCAAGGTGGCAAGAAAAGAAATAATTTGGTACTAACATCCTTGTTCTACAGAATTTGAGGTAAGTTGAGGACATTTTAAACTCACAGTGTGTGTGACTGATAGAAGCACCCGAAATGTGTTCTAGTTCAGGATAAAGATGGTTCTGCCCTTCAAACTCATATATTAACCATGTGTACTTGCTCATTTGTTTAATAAACATTGAGTGCCACTGTGTTTTTATGGCTCTGAGTTCCTGAGGATATAGTGTGAATGTAGAGAAACTTTACACAGCCCTCCCAGAATGGACCTGAGTGTCAGCATCACTTCGGAGCTAGTTAGAAATGCCACTTGAAGGGCCTTAGGCCTACTCAGTTAGCACACACAGTTGAACAAAGTTCTCAGGTAGCTCCCTAAACAGTGAAGTTTGTGGGATACCGCCCCTCAGGCCTCAAAAGTGACGGTGACCCTAAGGAGCCAACCGGGCAAAAGAGGAGAAGAGTGCCAAGTATTTTCAAAAGCTTTACCTATTGTATGGCTACACTTGTACTTTAACAAGCCAGGTCCCCTTTAAAAACCTTACACACACACACACACACACACACACACACACACACACACACATTCACACTCACACACTCCTGGGACCAGAGCAATGGGCTAAAGTTGAACATTATTTGCTCCTACCATTCCACCCTTCAATATACCAGCTATTTTTTTAATTGTAACATACATATAAAATGTGCAGTGTTAACCATATTTAAATATTCAATGCAACAGCATAAAATAATATTAGCTGTTGTGCAACCATCATTACTGCTCATTTCTAGAAACTTCTCGTCAATGCCAACAGAAACTGTGTAGCCCTTAAGTAATAAGTCCTCACCCCCATTCCCAGCAGCCCCTGTAACCTCCATTCTATGTTCTGGGCAGAAAAAGGATGATTCATTGCTTTCTCCTACAACAATTCTGTCGGCAGACACGTGTGAAGGGACTTCTAACCCCCTTTATTTCATCACCTCATTGAAGGAAGAAAAAAAAACAAACTGCAATCTGTCTTTCTCACTGTCTACCCCAGACTCCCTAGGGTGGTATTGCTGCTACCTACTCTCCTAGAGTGGCTCCCCCACCCTCCTTGGCCTGATTAACTTCCACCCCTGAGCTAAGACAGTGGATTTCAAGGTTGGCCCAATACTTTAGAATCACCTGGAGAGCTTGTTAAGCTCCCAAATGTCCAGGAACATTTCTGATTCAGAAGGTTCAGGGTGAGGCCTAAATGTCCTTACCTTTAACAAGCACCCCAGATGGTTCTGATGCTGGCCAAAGTCAGAGAACCTCTGCCTTCAACATGCCAATAGGCATCTCGACTTTAGAATACCTACCTGACCACCCCTTGCTATTAAGTGCATTTATAAAGTCCTAAGCCGAGAAGGCAGAAGCTGCGTACCCTCTGATCCTCCCCCACGCCCAGTGGCACCTAGAGGACCCATGGCTATTGTCTCTAAAACCACAGCATGGATACAGAACAGACAGAAAAGGGGGGTAAGGGAAGGGATGATCAGGGAAGAAAGGCCTGGAGTGGGGGCCTAGAAATTCTCCCTGGTACTTTCCTCCTCACTGATAGAACTGCTGTGAGAAAAGAACTTGGCACAACTATCAGAGCAGTGTTTCATAGTGGAAACTTGCAGGCTGCACTGAGAAGCTTGCAGGCCACACTGATGGCGGCAAGGCTGCTCTCTCCACAGGCAATGGAGTGTCAGCCCTTCAAGCAGTCTTAGCAAAGGAAACGTCCTGAAGGAGAGCCATGATGTTGTTAGAAGTATTTCGTTTTTACGTGTTTACTTCTTTTTAATGTGGATGAGTGTTTGGTTGCGTGAATGGATGTGTGCCATGTGTCTGGTGCCCTTGGAGGCCCGCAGAGAGAGTCCAATTCCCTGGAACGGGTGTTACAGGCCATTGTGAGCCCTTGTGAACCAAACTGAGATCCTCCTCAAGAGCTGTGCCTGATCTTAACTGTGGAGCCATCCCCCCAGCCCTGGGAAGAACTGACCTTAACTCCTGGTCACTTAGGACAAATCTACCCCTCCCTGCTCTTAATTATGCCTCAGTAAGTTGCTTATATCCTCCCCGAGTCTCAGATTTTCTCATCTATAAAATATGGGCTCTGGCCGGGCGGTGGTGGCGCACGCCTTTAATCCCAGCACTTGGGAGGCAGAGCCAGGCGGATCTCTGTGAGTTCGAGGCCAGCCTGGGCTACCAAGTGAGTTCCAGGAAAGGCGCAAAGCTACACAGAGAAACCCTGTCTCGAAAAACCAAAAAAAAAAAAAAAAAAAAAAAAAAATGGGCTCTGATGCTCTATCCTGCTTGAGTAGGTTGATGGAGTCAGTGGGAAAGATTAATGTGAAAGTCCTAGACTCGAGGGTCTGGAAACTATGCACGGCTTCCATAGAGGGAGTGGGAAATGACCAGGTTTACTATGGTACTGGTGCTGGTCTTAGGTAACTATTACTATATCTTCAGCACCCCATTTTCTCCACTGCTTACATACTATTTATAGGAGGAGATCGTTTGCTTTGAGGAAACTGGTTTTGTTTATTTGCTTTTGAGGATGCTACAACATCCATTGTCCCTCTCTGTGACAAAAGTATACACACATTTCTCTCTGGGTATTTTGCCATGTGTTCTTTCACGAATGCACCTCCCCTAGTCTGACCTTCCTTCTTACTTCCAGAACTTCAGGGAACTCCTGAGCCTGCCCTTGACTGCTTAAGTTCAAAAACTTTCCCATGGTTTAGCTAAAGAAAACTGAAGCTACCTTTGAATCTGTTAGGTTTGCTTTTGCCTTTTCCCCATGTTTCAGCCATTCAGAAGGTCAATAATTTACTCTAAGACAACACCGGGGCCTGGGAGTGTCTGTTTATACTTGTGCACTCTCAAGACGGTGCTCTGGAATGAGCGATGTGCTTCCTTATCAGGTACAGCCAAGGGGCGCCTGGGAGGGAGCAGCTGTCCGACCCTGCCTGACTCACGAGTGTTGCAATCTGAGAAATAGATTCTGGGCCTGTTTATCTCTGCCCAGGGCAAGGCTAAGCTTGACCGGTGAGGCCTCTGAGCTCAGAAGCAGCTTCTAAGGGGCAAGAATATAAGCTTGGAGAGAATAGAATGCTTCTAGCAAGACAGTAAGATGAAACCCAGTTATTTGGCTGAGTGAGTGGAAGAGGCCAGTGAGAACCTTAAACAGTTTCTGAAATGACCTATTAACCCTTAAGGTGAATTTATGGCTGTCCCTTCCCAGTGTGAAAATCCCCCCAATACAGCCTCCTGTGTCCATGGGGTTGTTCCTCAGAGAAAGCAGTTCATCTCACATGGAAGGTCTGGATCCCTTCAGGGGGTCATCACATCAGCAGACTCTGCTCCTGAGCACATTAAGCTGTAAAACCCTGCCCTGGGGACATGGCTCTGTAGATAGAGAGCGTGCCACATGAGCATGAGGACCTGAGTTCAGATCCCCATGGAGTTTCTGTGCCTGTAATCTCAGGGCTCTCCTGGGGAGCTGGGATACAGAAAGCAGGAAGGAAGGACTGCTGCCCATGGTTGTCCCCGACCTCCACATACATGCCTGAACTGAAACACACGTGAATGCTTGCACACACACATACACAAATTAAAAACAAACAACCGTAACTCTCACTTCAAGTTATCTCTATGTAACTCGGACGCAGTGTGTCCTCAGGAGCAGTGAGAGCTAAGAAACATGCAGCAGGACTCAGTAGCAGCTTAGAGACCGGAATCCCTTCTTCTCCCAGTCCCACCTGTCACTGAGAGAACCTTGGATTAGATCACCTAGCCTTGAAGTTTCTATTTTCTCATCTGAAAGCAGGAAGACAGCTTTTGTCAGGCTCACAGGGGAGATAGCGCAACCTCTATAGCACCAGTCATGTGTGACATGTCATGTCTACACACATGTGCACATGACACCTCACACACACTCCCCAGCAGCAAACTCTGGGAAAGAAGAAGCCTGGGAATTACTCACACCTACATCTAGGGAGCTCTCACTTGGGCCAGGTGTCCTGGCTAGGGTCCTTGTTTCCACAGGTGGGATCCTGCCTTTTCTTTTCCACTGTTATCTTCCTGTTCTGGAGATATGGATGCCTCAGATCCCCAGGCTGCCTAATCCCCACGTGACCTCGTCCAGCCTCAGAGCTTTAACTGCTACCCCTACTGACTCCTGAGAAGACATCCGTGACACAGACCTTTACCCCTCAACTCCAGATATGTACAGAGAGGACTATTTAGCATCTCCTCAGGACCCAGAATGCCTATCAGATGCCTCACCCTTTCCTCTTCACAGCTTTCTTCATCTTGGCAACTTAGTTAGAAATATATGAAATTACTCTTTAAGGTTAAGAACCATTGTTTAAGCTGGGTGGTGGTGGCACACTCTAATCCTAGCGCTAGGGAGGCAGAAGCAGGTGGATCTCTGTGAGTTTGAGGCCAGCCTGGTCTACAGAGCAAGTTCTGGGACA